CCAGTCTTACTTGGCACTGACAATTCACTGTGAACTGTCAAGTATTGCTTGGCACAGACCAATCGATGTCAAGGGTCAAGTTAATGACCAATCATTATAGAGTTCCCAGGTTGCTAGGCTCTGACCAATCACCAACGTTCACGGATTTCTCTAACCAATCGCTGTGGATTGCCCAGGATTGGGTGTAGCATTGTCATCACCACCACATGCCTTATCCTGTGTGTATGTATGTAGGATGTTATCACTGTTATAATCAAAAGTAGAGGCAATAAAGAGAATGTCGACTTATCTCGAGACTTGTGTTTGATTACACCCATAAAGACAGGATTATACTGGCCGTAGTACAACTTTTCTCCACTAGGGATTATACTAGCCGTAGTACAACTGTTCTCCACTAGGGATTATACTAGCCGTAGTACAACTTTTCTCCACTAGGGATTATACTAGCCGAAGTACAACTTTTCTCCACTAGGATTACACTAGCCGTAGTACAACTTTTCTCCACTAGGGATTATACTAGCCGTAGTACAACTTTTCTCCACTAGGGATTATACTAGCCGTAGTACAACTTTTCTCCACTAGGGATTATACTAGCCGAAGTACAACTTTTCTCCACTAGGATTATACTAGCCGTAGTACAACTTTTCTCCACTAAGGATTATACTAGCCGTAGTACAACTTTTCTCCACTAAGGATTACACTAGCCGTAGTACAACTTTTCTCCACTAGGATTATACTAGCCGTAGTACAACTTTTCTCCACTAGGATTATACTAGCCGTAGTACAACTTTTCTCCACTAAGGATTACACTAGCCGTAGTACAACTTTTCTCCACTAGGATTATACTAGCCGTAGTACAACTTTTCTCCACTAAGGATTACACTAGCCGTAGTACCACTTTTCTCCACTAGGATTATACTAGCCGTAGTACAACTTTTCTCCACTAGGATTATACTAGCCGTAGTACAACTTTTCTCCACTAGGATTATACTAGCCGTAGTACAACTTTTCTCCACTAGGATTATACTAGCCGTAGTACAACTTTTCTCCACTAAGGATTACACTAGCCGTAGTACCACTTTTCTCCACTAGGATTATACTAGCCGTAGTACCACTTTTCTCCACTAGGATTATACTAGCCGTAGTACAACTTTTCTCCACTAGGATTATACTAGCCGTAGTACAACTTTTCTCCACTAAGGATTACACTAGCCGTAGTACAACTTTTCTCCACTAGGATTATACTAGCCGTAGTACCACTTTTCTCCACTAAGGATTACACTAGCCGTAGTACTACTTTTCTCCACTAGGGATTATACTAGCCGTAGTACAACTTTTCTCCACTAGGCTGCATTCTGTTTTATGTTTTATTTCTGTAAACAATGGAACCTAAACACTTCTATCTTCTTGTCTATCTAAATGTGAATAAAGCGTGACAAAATATCATTTAAACGAAATAGCCGAGCAGGAAACACACGGATTGTTAACTATGCTAGTTTTCACTATTTCTCGTGACTGACTACACCTATGCAAAACGACACGTCGTCACTATGTCAAGGATGCCATCGGGCATTGAAAGAGGCCATAGTGTATGTTTTTATATCAGGTGAACAAATATCACAAATAAGATCAATATTAATTCCCGGAAAGCTTTTTGAACTGATTGCTTCTTGATCTTAGAAAACGTGGACAACAAATAATGTCAAAGAACCATATTTGGTTCCGATCTCGTACATCACCATCTCACCCCTAAGAAAATCGATCTGCATCCAATTCTTTATTATGTAACGACATTAAATAGTTCGCATTACAAACCCTAACTTCCGGTTAGGAGGGTTTTAGTGAACAAATTTATCCTAATTCTTGTTTTTTCCCTGTTAGATGAGAAATAAAGATAGGTGATCTAATGGGTTAGTATTAAGGAATAAAAGATATTTCCATCTTGGATTTGGACAACTAAATTATTGTCGCCAAGTGCATCATCGGTACTATTTATTTATTTATTTTATCGACATCCCTGTAAAATTTCCAGGTAGAACTGAAGGTACACGTGAAGCAATTTGATTGGTCTAGAGCGGGTTTCAACCAACTACAGACTGATATGATCCTTTGAAAATTACAAAGGAGAGACACCCAATTTCAAAACCATTACAACATACCGTTATGCGACCTCAAAATTCCTTTGATATACTTCAAAGGATCAAACTATTTTCTCGTCTTATCCACGTGGTTTCTCACATAAAACCTTCAATTTTGCCATGAAATATACCAGGGGTGCAGAGAGCGAAAATGAGCGTAACCCCAGGAGCATGAAGGATGAGTTAAGTGATATATTCGGCCTGTGGAGAATTTATTGCTAATGTCGGAAAGTATTGCGAGATGTTTGTTGAAGAATGTGCTCTCTACCTGTATGGCTCAACAAATGAAAACCAAAGGAAAAAAAGAATGAAAGGCATGTTACCAACAACGTGAATACGATGTTCGGCGCTGTTCCGCTGCATATGTGGACAGCGGATCAACGTAAACTGAACAAACAAAAGGACAACTTCTGAAATATAAAGACCAACATAACGTTTGCTGTAAGTAACTGATAAAGTTGTTTAAAAAATCACCAATTTTACAAACATTTGTCACCTTGCATCTGATTCAGTTTTAATGTATTCTCGTTTTTATATTTCATTTACAATTATGTGCAGTTTAGGTGCAAATACACTCACGACAAGTTCCCTTTGTTAAATTATCAAATGGTGCTTACTTTAGCCTGGTATTAAATAAACAGCCGGCCAAATCAACAATGCGACATTGATTTATGAAAAACATTTTGGTGTTGTTTAGTATTCTTGACTCTACATTTCTGACATACAATTACGAGTTCTTAGGTTAGTGGTAATTTAATTGATTCCAATTTATCTTCCAAATTACTTCATATTGATTTTTTTCCCCTTATATGCGGAGTCTTATCATTGAAATACTTCATTTATGCTATCACTATATCTCTTCTGCTGTGGTGCTGTTTTGTTGATAATCGAAGAGTTGATAGACTTCAGGGTTCAACCGATCGCTTTGATGCACTATCCAGGCAGCTCGAACATTACCTTCAGTTACCTAAACTCATAGGATATATGAGTATACTATAGGAACCTGTCCCTATACAGCTTGTCATATTATCATCTTTCACAAGACATTAGGGCATGGTTCTTGTGTTAAAATTATGATTTAAAACTTTTGAAGCTTGACATAAAAGGAAATTTAATATTTTAACAGAAAATAACCCAGACTTACTTGTAGGGAACATATAGTAGTCTGCATCCTTTACAACTGAATGGAATATTCATTTTTATCCACTTTATATCTCGTCTTATAGCGATTTTCAATTCTGATGCGCTAGTACATTACATAGTCAATAACTTAGGCAAGTTAAAACAAATATAAATAAATGCCCTCCTGAATAACTGATTATTACAGGTCCCATGTGTATCGACCGTTTGATGAATACATCGGAACAGAGAATAAATTACATATTATATGATAAAGACAATTCACATATATAACTCTCATATAGTCTGAGAGAGTTCGTGCTAAGTAAGAGCGATGCTGATTGAATTCAGTGCTTTCAGTTGACCTTTCATAGTTGTGAATTATATGTGCATGAAAGAAAAGTGTGTCATATTCTGTCTCTGATCTCCATTCAAGTTCCGTATTTGGGTAACATATATTGAGCGTTTTAGATCGTACGTTATACCACGGACTTAAATATAGAATATATCTAACATACAAGTCCGTGGTTATACATGTACCAAATACTGAAATACTTCTCTTTTTGCAAGTTCTTATTAGATTTTACACCGACTTGAATGAAGTTTCCTTCGAATTTATGCAGATCGAATTGCTGCAATATTTATCTATTGATTTATTTACATGATCAAATAACTAAATGAGGAATGTTAACTTTATCAGGCTGAAGCAAAATCTAAATCGGCGGTGTCCAGTTTCGCTCTTTTTTTTTTTTTTTTTTCAAACGATGGAGACCTTGGGAACCACTCAATCAGCCATCAAGTTCCGCTTTTGATAGTGCACTAAGGACTACAAGGAACGACAATTCTGCCTCTAGTCAGAGTTGTCATTCCTACTACATTTGGTATCGAAATTGTCAAAACGATATGGGAAAAAATGGAAAACATGTATATCTATCTACGTGTTTATCACATCAATTTATAAATTTGATCTGTACAACATAAATGGAAGTTTTAATATCTTTTTCTATCGATTTACCAGTTAACCGAACCGCGCGTCCCGGGCTGTGTCTAGTAGTTCCTGGTCTGGCGGCCAGATATTAGTATCACGTGATGTTGATGTTATGAAACTCCACGTGCGATTTGGTAAACATCAAGAAGCGCCCGAGTAAATCCTTCAGTGTTGTCTTGAAGTAGGACATTCACTGACATTCCATTCCTTTTTTAGTATTAACAATGTTTCGATAATTTGCATGCACATTTTAAATTGCTTCTGAAGAACTTCTTTATTTGGAATGATATATGAAGCTGATATTTATGTATTTCTTTGGTTGCAACTCATCGATGTAGCATTGAATCCTGCATTCCCACCGAAACTGATGCGACAGGGATACATGTTAAATATTTTGGGGCCAACTTTGGCTTTGGACATATTTTCAGGAATTATAATGCATTTTTAAACTTGCGACGTAACATATTAAACTTAATTACATCTTCAACAATATCATACAATGTTTATTCTTTAATTTCAGTTTTCAATAAAGTGATGGCTGAGAGTAATAAAACTCGTAAACGGAAGTTAAACTCTGATACAACTGAACTAACTGAAAATGGAACAAACCCATCCAAATTGTCAAAGACGTCTAGTCCAACAAAACAAACTGACGGAGACTTCATATCACAGATAGCAGGGGCCAGAAGTAATTTGTGCAGCTCTGTTGCGGATTTCAAGTTCAACAAGAAGCGAGTGCGTGTGTTATCTGTTAGTCAGGACTTTCCAGAGACATGCAGTGGAATCCTGTATTGGATGTCTAGAGACCAGCGAGTACAAGGTAATAATGATTGTAATGTTATACACGTGTATCAATTATATCATGTAGATGTACCTGACTACACTCAATGATACTGACACTTATATGTCATGCATCGCATGACCTCATTCCATGATCAAAATATGCATATTCACCAGAGTAGACGAAAGTTGTTGGGCAGGACAGGCTTTATGTTGAGTTAAGTTAAGTTAAGTTTATTTCCGGTTCAGGACTAAGACAAGTCCTCTACACCAGACTCATATATGTAAATACATAATATACAGGTATAGAAAATACACATGTACATAAATATAGCTATAGTTAAAGTTTGATTGTTGCCCTATAGTTATAATAAAGTTCTTGATTCTTCCAGTGGTTGTCCAGTTTGTTTTTAAAAGAGTTTATATTGGGTGCCGATACTACTTCTTCAGGTAGACTATTCCATATTGATACTGTTCGTATTGAAAAAAAGTTTTTCCGTAACATGTTGTTGCTCCGTTTGGGGAATATTTTTTTTGAATTTCCTCGACTGCTGTGGCGATCTGCCACATCTCTCCATAGTGGTACAGATGTGCAACAATCTTTATCATAAACATTCAATATTTTATATAATTCAATCATATCACCTCTGATTCTTCTTAAGGCCAAAGTTGGTAATTTTAACTTTTTTAATCTGTCAATATAGCTTAAATTTTGCATCCCTGGGAGACTTTTGGTAGCTCGTCTTTGTACAGCCTCGATCTTGTCTATATGTTTCTGTAAATGTGGCGACCACACAGCACTAGCATAATCCAAATATGTTCTTCTGTGCTGAGAGAGATGGAATATTGTGGACTACATACATTTTTTTATCTTTTTTTTATTCAAATCGCCCAATGTCCGTGGTCAGTCAGTCTGTCTGTAAACAGTTTTTATTCTGTCTATCTCCTGAGAAGGACTGGATGGAGCTTTCTCAAACATCAGATGTAAGTCCCCTTGGTCCCTAATTATGCCTGTTTGATTTTGAGACTGATCAGAAAACAAAATGGCCCACAGGCGGCCATCTTGAATTTTGTCTTCGATAATTTGTTATTGCTATTTCTGCAAAGTAATGTTCAAATTTCTTATCATTAAGAGCAAAAACAGAGAAAAGAGGAGGAAAGAAGGGAAAAGATCCAACCTTTAAAGAACAAGTAAAGACCAAACAATGGTGGGCAACAAGATCAATCTGGGTCTTTTGTTACATTAGTTCAGACTGAAATATCAAATTCTGAAAAGTCATGGCCAAAACCTTTTAAACATTGAAAACCAAGTGACATCTTCCACTGAGGTCATAGTGCAAGGATAATTCAGGAGGAAGGGAGGTCAAGGGACTTTCGTTCCTTAAATCTGAAATAGACCCCTTTGATGTTCCTTTTATTTAGAATTATGATGAATGGCACATCAGATTTTTGACAAAAAGTTGCTGAAAATGGCCTCTCCCTCTCAGCTCAGAGATTTTTCCTTGAAAATGAATACCTGAAGAATACATGAAGGCTACATATTGAATCTAATGTGTTGTCGTCAATTAAGCTGACATCAAATTTCAAGTCTGCAAATGCTGTGAATTTTTCAGATTTACTGATTTGTTACATTTCCTTTATAAGATAAGGAATTGTTCAGCAAAGTCGATGAATACAAATAGTTGTTTTATCTGGAGATTGAAAGCATCATAATATTAAGAAAATATTGCAGACTTTAACTGTATCATTGACCTTAATCTATTTGTATACAAGCTAAAATTTTATCAAGATACAAACAATGATTTCAGAATTAAAGAAAAGAAATTGTATCTTTACTGTATAATTACATAGTTAAAAGTTGATATCTAAATAATAACAAAATATTGTGTAGAACAAAAAAAAAAAAAAAAACCCTCAGATAGTCAGGGACGTTGCAAATTTTCGTCTTGTCATTATGGACATTCTATAATGTATTCTAGATCTGTAATATGGTTATACATCAATAAGATACCTTTCTTTAAAAATACTGATCACAAGTGTTTTGTTTGTAAACATTGTCAGTGTTATACAATTATTGACAGGTTTTCAGGTGAATACAAAGATTTATTAACCCTGAGAAAGTCATATTTCATTGTTTTATCATATGGCAACATTCTGTGGTTCTGATTGGTCAAAGTTTGCAGCACAGGTTACTGGATTGTTAAATTTACCTTTTCAACATCAGACCATGTTTTGGTCTGTTATATTCTTCTCAGATTCTGTCTGTTTCAGTGTAACCTGGCAATATATTTATACCCATAAGAGGTGTTTCAACCAATCAGCATGTAGAAAATATGGCATTCATATGATTAAGCAATTGATATAATCTTGATAAGATTTTAATGTCGCTAAGTATTGTCATATCCTCTTAATTCCAGATAACTGGGCCATGCTGTATGCTCAACGACTGGCTCTGAAACTAAAAGTACCCTTGGTTGTGTGTTTCTGCCTGGTACCCAAATTTCTGGAAGCCACCATTCGACATTATGGCTTCATGTTAAAGGGGCTGGAAGAAGTAGAACAGGTTTGTTCTAACCATTTCTTAATAAAAATTACTGACAGAGAAAGTATGTTAATCCCATTGTCAGGAATACTTATCATCTAATTTTTGGGTTATATTGCTTCATTTACCAAGGCCAGGTTTATTGTCCTGCATGCTATCTGACACATTCAACCAAAATTGTTTAGAGTATTTCAGACATGTCTCACTTTGCTAAAATAAGTAATTATAGCTTACATAGATGTCCATTTAAATTTTCAAGGAAATGTCATGAAACCTTATATACATGTAAACATATATTTGCTTTGAAAAAATCATACAGATATATGTTAGGAAAGATCATGTTAAAGAATTGTGTACTGAGATTGGTGCTCTCAATTAAGTGACCTTAATTCAAAAAGCTTTTTCCTTTTAATTGTATAATATTTTCATAATACAGGCAGTATGAAAAGTTTTTGTATAATGTCATGGTGATGTTTTGTACCTGTTGTTGACTTATAAGTATAAACCATGTTTTCCCTGTGTTGTAGGAGTGTCAATCACTAGACATCAACTTTCACTTACTGCAAGGTTATGCTAAGGATGTTTTGCCCAAATTTGTGGCAGACAATGATATTGGTGGTGTGGTGACTGACTTCTCCCCATTGCGGGTACCTATAGGGTGGGCAAATGATGTCAAAGAAATCCTTCCAAAAAACGTGCCATTTTGCCAGGTAATGTATCAAAGACAATATATTATTTGAAAGAGTGTATTGGTTAGTCTTTTATAAAAGGACGTTCCAGTTAACCACTTGATGATATTAATCCAATTTGCCAGTAATGCTAAAAGCGTCTATGTTCAAACAAAAGGAGGAATGAAAACCAAACATTCTTAAAAGGAGACCATCGAGTAAAACAGAAATTGCTTCAAATAGTGTAAATTTGCGGATATAATGCGCACTCGGGTGTAGTGTAAATTTGTCCTCCAAATTACATGAAAAGTTCCAATCAAGGTTGAAGAGTTGCAATCAAGGTTGAAGAGTTCCAATTGAGGTTGAAGAGTTCTAATCAAGGTTATATTGTGGATCTTTATCCTATTTCCTATACATTATAAAAAACAGGTTTACCATCAAAAATTAAAATTCTGTATTTTTTGGAGGATAATTGTGTTTTGTATGGGGTACATGAGAGAACAAATAAAAGGTAAATATAATACAGAATAAATACTTCATGGTCGAAACTATAATAAATATGGCAGAAGTTTGCAGATTCATTCATTTAGTGAACCAGAACTACACCATAAAGGAAACATGAATTGGTTTGGTGTGTGAAGAATTTTCAGGGTTTTTTAATCAATTCTGTGATTTTAATATATTTCTCTATATAGATGTAAACTTTGTACATTGTGGAGTAGGTGGATGCTCATAACATAGTACCTTGCTGGGAAGCCTCCCCCAAGTTGGAATATGGTGCTAGGACCATTAGAAACAAAATACACAACCAACTTTCTGGATTCCTTACAGAATTTCCACCAGTGTGCAAACACCCTCACAAATCAAAACTGAATTCTAAAGTAAGTAAACTGATATATGTTTTATAAAGCAATCATTATATATTTTATAAATAATTTGGGTACATACAAATGTGTCTGTCTGTATATTGAGGTAAAGTTTTCCAGAATAATAATGCTTGCTTGCTATTTATTCTTGCTATATTTATATGTATTATCCATAGGTAATGTTGGTCTGCACTGGAGGTTTCTTTCATTTCCTTGAATATGAAGGATGTATTCGTTAGTTCACTTGTAACAAAGTTACATTCCATATAAAAATAAATGCTGACATTTCTCAATGTATATGGATATTATGTGGTGTTGATGGATGGTCGGGTGGTCAGTCAGGTGGCAGAGTGGTAACACTCTCCACTTTCACTTAGCCATTCAGAGATAGAGAGATGTGAAAAGGTGAGAGGTCACATCACTGACCATGTGGGTATTCCAAGGCTGCTCTGGTTACCTCCCATGGTAAGACCTCTTACATGCTTACATCCAAGCCAAGAAAAGTGATTTCCGGTAATATAAGTAGGAATAACTTGTGTTGCAATAGTTGTAAAATAAATAAAGTTGATCTCTGATGTCTTTAGGTTATAGACTGGGAAAGTGTTAGGAATTCCCTGGAAGTTGACCAGTCAGTACCAGAGGTCTCTTGGACGACGCCAGGATCTAAAGGAGGCCTCACCATGCTAGAGTCCTTCTGTAACAACCGTCTTCGCTATTTCTCGTCAGATAGAAACAACCCAAACAAAAATGCCCTCAGCAATCTGTCACCATGGATACACTTTGGTGGGTTATTCTCTGTACATTTGCAATGTTTTTTTATCTTGAAGAGTTTTGATGGAAATCCATATAGTTTTACTCCCACACTAGATTGTTCTCTAAATTACCACCAGATGATTTTTTAATCAATTGGAGAAAAGAACTGTCCAATGTTATTAATATGTTATATTTCATTGCAAAAATAATTTTTAATCTCTGTTTTCCAGTCCACCATCTGATGATGGTGAGCTAATCAAATCGCCCTACATCAGTGGTCTGTCTGTTAATTCATCCGTCCGGCGTTTGACTGTAAACAATTTTTATCATTGCTATTTTGTGAGAATTGCTGAATGGATCTTTCTCAAATTTCATATGTAGGATCCCCTTGGTCACTAGTTGTGCCTGTTTGATTTTAGGACTGATCAGAAAAACAAAATGTTTGACATGCAGCCATTTTTGATTTTGAATATCAAGATTGTTACCACTATTTCTTGAGAAGTACTCAATTGATCTCTCTCAAATTTCCTATTTAGGTTCCTTTCGTTCCTAGTCATGGCCATTTAACTTCGGGACTTATCTGAAAAACGATGTGGCAAACAGGCGGCCATCTTGGATATTTACTTTGTTGATCAAATAGAATTAAATTCAAGCTGGTAGCATTCTAGGACATAGATATGATAGCAAATAAGAGATGCATTTCAGTTGTCTTAATATAATATAAAGCAACCAAAGAGAGTTTGTCTGGCTCAGAATATTCAGTACAATCAGAGGTATTTATAAATTATAATTCATAAGAACAGATCTACGATGTTAAGTAAAAGAATACAAGAATAGTTATACATTAGTAACTTAAAGAATACAGAAATAGTTATAAAATATTAACTAAAAGAATACACATTATTAATACCTGTAGTTCTATATTCTTACCTTGAAGGTCCACGTAACCTTTATTTTTTCCAAATATGTGTTTCTGTACTTTATGTCTGTCAATATATTTACACACGATTCTTGATTGTGTATAACAGGGCAGATCTCTGTTCAACGCTGCATCCTTACAGTTCGCAAATATCGCAGCAAGTCAAGTGAGGGTGTCAATGCTTTTATCGAGGAGGCTGTAATCAGACGAGAACTAGCTGACAATTTCTGCTACTACAATAAAAACTATGATTCTGTTGAAGGTATGTACTTTATATCTTTGTCTTGTATAAACCTGCAATTTTCGATTATTCTGATTTCCTGGGCTCCAGATTTCATTTCGAGGTTCTCCCTGGTCCAGAGATAAGCATTGTCTACTTTTTGGACAAGTCTGAAAATCAATATGGCCAAGAGTTGGCCATGTTGGATTTTAACAGTGATAGTTTGTTTTCACTATTTTTTGAGGATAAATGAAAGAATCATTTTCAAATTTTATATTTAAGTTCCCCTTGGTCCCTTGTTGTGCTATTTTGACATTCAGCCATTTTGGATTTTGACAGTAATTGTTTGTTACTGCTATGTCTTGAGAAGTACTCTTTGAAGAAGAGGTAAGAAAAGAAATTTGAAAGGACGAACAAATTTAGAACAAATATAGACATATACAGTGGTTGGAGCCAAGATTGGTCGTGGATCTCTTATTTGGTGTACGTGTTGTACGCACATAAATTCATTGTTGTAGGTGCCTATGACTGGGCAAAGCAAACACTCAAGATCCATGCCTCTGACAAAAGACAGTTTCTGTATACAAGGGAGCAGCTGGCTGAAGGAAAAACTCATGATAATCTCTGGAATGCAGCACAGGTATGCAGTTTATACGGGAGTGCACTTTAATCTGATAAAGTCAAAAGAATTTTATTTCAGTGAGTGTTTGGTTTACTAAAAGTAAAGTTTTGTAACAAGTTTCATAAACCTCAAATGAGATGGAAATGAATTCAGATCAATTTGTGTAATTATTGTATATGATACAACTTCACCCATCTTCCATTGTTATCCAATGTCTGTATGTGAACAACATATTATGTATATGGTTGAAGTCAATTTGATAAGAAGAAGATTTAAAAATCAAAATAGAAATAAGAATAGTCACTTGAGAGCCTTTGATTTAGTGATCAGTACTTATATTTGTGTTGGTTAGATAAATCATCTCATCACGATGATACATCCATGCAGGTTGATATGTAGTAGTTGTAACCATTCAAACGAAATCCAGTTGTTCACTTCTCTATGATACTGCCTAGTATATGTTATATTTGTATACTGGGTAAGTCATGTTTACAATCCTGTTTCTGTATTTACAGATACAAATGGTTCAAGAGGGTAAAATGCATGGCTTCCTTAGGATGTACTGGGCCAAGAAAATATTAGAATGGACAGAAAGTCCTGAGGTTGCCTTGGCAACTGCCATCTATCTCAACGACAGATTCTCATTGGATGGCCGTGATCCAAATGGCTATGTTGGTAGGTACATGTATATATATTGTCAAGGGGAAAACCAGGCAGCAGATAAAAATCTCTGCCTACCAGTGATTTTATTACAGCGGATATATTTCAGCAATACCAGGTAATAAGACTGTAGCATTGAACTTAGCTTAACTGTTATGCTGTGTTATATGTGTGCAACCATTGTGCTAATCTATCCTTATTTATAAGGGCCCTGCACGAAAGAGCAGGTACACTATAGTAATCACGGTGTCTATCCGTCTGTCCGTCCGTCTGTCAGTCCGTCTGTCTGTCAGCACTTTGTTTCCATGTGATAACTTGAGTTTCCTTGAGCAGATCAAGCTCAAACCTTGTTCAGTGCTTACTTATTGAAAGTGCTTGTATGGGTTTTTTTCTCAGCTTGAAAGGTCAAAAGTCAAGGTCACTGTTACTATGAATAAACAATCAGTTTCCATGCGATGGTAGATGGGAGGTAGGAAGGTGTGATAAGCCAGATAGATTACTGACCAAGAAATCTTCCTGTGCTTCCATACATATACTAACTAAAGTTAGCCAGGTTTTATAGTCTACACAATGTTATTTTCCTTACCTTGCCTACAATTTAGATAAATTATATATGAAAACATCATACATAAACAACTGATTTGCTCTTCAATGAGATCTTAGAACTAATTGTAGGCTTTATCAATTTTCATGTCCGAAGAATTCTATTCATTTTTTGTTCTTTTCTCTAAGGTTGCATGTGGTCTATTTGTGGCATTCATGACCAAGGATGGAAGGAGAGGGAAGTATTTGGCAAAATACGATACATGAATTATGCTGGATGTCAGAGGAAGTTTGATGTAGCTGCATTTGTCAGCAAGTACAAGGCCAAGAAAAAGTAGTGATACTTTCATCAGCGTGTGAGATCATATATCCCAGATAGTAACTGCATCAAAGTACAGAGAAAAGATCATCATCTATATGTCTTACCCAATATTTTGATCCAAAAACAGTTGTATATAAATGTCTTAACATATCATAGCATGCATTTTATGAATAAAGATGAGTGGGCCCATAGAATCTCGGACAGCTTAACAAATCAGTGAACAAAGTAGGTTTTTTTATGTTTGTATAATTTTTGTGTCAGATATCTACATCATTATGATACAGAATACTGTTATAAGTCCATTAAGATGTTTGTATGAAAATGTTTGTATGTTTGTGTAAACTTTGTGTTAGATATATATATCATGATACGGAATACTGTTAAAAGTCAGTAAGTATGTTTGTATGTTTGTATAAACTTTGTGTTAGATATATATATCATGATACGGAATACTGTTAAAAGTCAGTAAGTATGTTTGTATGAAAATGTTTGTATAATCTTTATGCCAGATATACATCATGATGAGGAATACTGTTAAAAGTCAGTAAGTATGTTTGTATGAAAATGTTTGTATAATCTTTATGCCAGATATACATCATGATGAGGAATACTGTTAAAAGTCAGTAAGTATGTTTGTATGAAAATGTTTGTATAATCTTTATGCCAGATATACATCATGATGATATGGAATACTGTTTAAAGTCAGTTAGTATGTTTGTATAAAGTGTGTGTCAGATATATACATCATTGTACCATTAACTACCTCGGTGACAAAATAAACATATGTGTTCAATTATCACCGTCATTCCTTTGATATTTACATCCGATGGCATGGTAAAATCACAAGGTGGTTGTTGTGTGTAGTTTAGCCAATGGTACACCAGTAATTGTAGTTTGTAAAAGGTCTATGTATGTCAGTTTCATACTTACATTACCATGCTATTCTATTTACTTTGAGTTTGACATCACTTGGATTGACAAAGAAACAAAAGACGTTTACATGAATCCTTCTGTAACACTAAGTCTTGTTCTCCTTGTACCCTCAGGATCTCCTGTAAATCTCTGCTTATATTCTGAGAAGAGTCCAAGTGTCAGTGAGCATCTCTTGACATATACAGCTCATACCGTTCATTAAGATGAAACAGCAATTAGATTAGATGGTATCCTTATGACAGCTTTATTGAAACGGGACCAAATCAGTTAGGAAATTGGAGCTTGACCAAACCCATTTGGAAGGTTTCATTTCCATATCCTCACACAATCAAACTGAGCTACTAATAATTTTTCAAGACAAGTTTTAACTATCATTTCAGTTCTTGGAAACACAGTTCGTTATATAGATGGTGAAGTAGGAAACATAAATCAATATCTATGAATTGATGACTGCTAAAAGGTATTTATATTCAAAGAATTATACTAAACAATTGTTTATAATTATACAAACATGCCTCTCAAATTAACCGTTTGAAGATCCAGTGATTACCGCAACAAGCTATAAGGCTGTTAGTCAGAGTTACACTGACATTCTGTTAACACTTTTTGTCTGTCTGCTCAAAGGTGGTTGTAAAGATAACCATCAGTTTATTTCAAATTTTTATTAGTGCTGCTGAAAGAAACGAAGGACAAGCAAAACTGACACTGAAAAATATCAATTTGACTCGTCTCAACAACTCTACAGCTGAAACATGATAAAAGATGTTTCCATTATTGATAAACTCATATTTGAAAATTTTCACAAACCAACCAAGTTTAACATAACTGGGACCTGAGCCTTGTGAAAAGTTGATAGAACACTAGAACTCCGAAATACCAGAAAGAAAGGAATGACTATGGAGAAAGCAGCTCAAGGAAAGAATATTAACTGTGAAAAGCAAAAAGTATGGAAAAGAGGAATGTTAACTAGTGCCAGAAGGGTCGGAAAAGATTATCTCGCTCAATCTACAACATCATTTATTAAATTATTTAAAAGTTTCTATACTATTCTTCAAAAGTGAACATGAAGGTGACCTTCACTTCACCCTCCCTTATACATTTCCTTGCACTCCATATCTACCCAACCTAATCTTACCTAAATAATCACTTATTTAATACATATATATATATGTCATCTTGTGTAAATATTTAGGTGTTATATATTATTGAAAATTTATGTCTGATCTCCCAATGAAAAGATTTGACACAATGAAAAATATGTTTAGAAAAACAAACTCCCACCCCAATATAAAAATGTTAAAAGAGTAAAAGAACTTGTGCTGTGTATAAAGAAAAAGTCATTAAAATTTCAGAATACTGGCCCAATATTAAAAAAATAAAGTTGATAGATCTTCAGAACTCCCGCCCTTTTCACAGAAAGTCGATATAGAATGTCTATTTACACTGCTTTACAGATTGAAGACGAGTTCAGGTACACAAAGTCGACTCAAGTGACTTTTTTTCCAGCTGATCGTTACTACCGTAAATTTCCGCGTATAGTGCACACTTTTTCAAGATAAAACTATTGTGTCAAAAAGGGGGTGCGCATTATACGCAGGAACATGCCATTCTTGGGGTTATCATTCCCAAGTTCTGCGTCCGCCATATTGGATTACCTCCCTTCACATAGTTATATGTAAAAGTCGTTGGTCGTATATGATAGTTTGGAGATAAAAACAACAACAACAAAAAAAATGAAATAAAATTTGAATGTTTTAATCATCGGCCATACACACTGGCATTACGGTGAATCTGATTTTTTTTTCATTTCCCGTCATTTGAAAAGTCATGGTCTTACTATTGGTCGGGGCTAAAAAGTAGTGTCTGAATTTCCGCCTCATCTGAATCTGAACCCAAAAAAGTACCTGGGCACTATACCCGCAAATTTACGGTAAATGAATTATCATTGTTACATATAATAGATTAATTGTTGCCCATTGGAAATCAAAGATACTTATGTCCTTCAAATTCATTTCTAATCAAACAGATTATTGGTAATGAAAATAGTTTGTATACTTGATATAACATAAAGAACCTTCCCAAACCTATTTAAATATGTCTAGTGACTCTTGACAAATAACCAGTACAAATCTTATTGGAAAACATACAAGTATTTTTTATTTCAAATCATAAAATAAACTATGATAACTGATAGTGTGAAGACCAATGAAACATTTCTTCAACTACATAAGGAGCCTACAGATGGCCACAAGACATAAATGTCTCCCCTCCCATACACAAACATCACTAATGAAGTAGCAGAAGTTGTCAAATGTGACTTCTGACCCTTTAACCACCTTACTGTTAAAATACCACGGGGGTTAAAAATGAATCCTAAAACTGAGTCCTAGTAAGATCATTACCAGGAGTAATACTTCCCAGTCCTGGTGAACAACAGTCAACATGATTGCTATAATAACAATGTAATAATGTTCTGTCCTCTTGTGATACACTGATACAAGCTGGTTACGTCACTTTACTCCTCGTATTATTACTTACCACAAACTTGAAGCTTCTGATTATAGATGAATTAAAACTATGTATTTCAAATCAGATTACGGGTTATTATAATGTAAACTGGAAAACAAATTTTGAATCTTTCATTTCTTTGTTGTACGTTTCATCAAACTCTTCATTTTGAGCCACTGTTAACCAATTCTTCCAGTCCCCAACTTCACCTGAAACAAATAAAGACAGTTCAGTAGGTAGAACTGCTTACTCATACGCAACACCTGGTCTTATTCTCCTTGTAATTTTAAAATAGTTTCTGTATAAATTAGTGTTGTTCCGATTAATCGAGTTAATCGAGTATCACTTGTTTGAGATGTTTGATCAATTAATCGATTAAGAAATCTGTAATCAATCATCGTGATGTATGAAAATAGATTATTTCAACATTGAAATTATTTTCAACATTAATAAAAAAATTAAAAAAACAATATTTGTTTATATTAAAAAGTATTCTGAGCAATAAACAAATAACAAGCACACAAAAAGATGGTGTAGGTACAACAGTTTTAGTAATTACGTGAATTGCTGTTAAAACACAACACAAAATACATATTTAGACTTGAATAACATCCAAAAACAGACAATTAAGAATTAATCGATTTTAATCGATCATCGATCTGTTACATAAAATTGATGATCGATCAAGAAATTTCAACCGATTCCCAACACTAGTATAAATCTTTCTTTTGTTAATAATTTTCTGTTCACATGTTAGTATTGTCTAGTTATTTTTTTTCATTGGTAACGCCTACTCTGACTGTTTGGGTATCAGTAAAAGCTGTATGGTTGTTTTCATAACTCAAATAAAATGTCTGTAACTATAATTTTGTCAAATCATTGAACAAATGTGACTTCCTGTAGCTGAGGGACCTTGACCTGTAAACATAACAGAAAACAGCCTTGACCTTTACAGTGATACAAATGAATGAAGGATCATATGTGGACATGTATACATCATTAGAACTGCACTAATTAGTATATATGAGCACGTTTTACCTTTCCTACATATGGGAGATGTTCCATCTTTTGTCAGTGATTTCCATGGCGTACCAAAGGTACCGCTGGTCTTCATTTTCTTAAAGTCACATTTCTCCACGATCTGTTCAAACAATTCCTCATTTTCCTCTACGCCAAGAAATTTGGCAATTCTTCGTACATTCATTAACAAGTCCTGTTGGATATATATAGAGTTGTAACATTATAACAATGAGTGGATTTGAACAAAACATTTATTAGAGATTTTTTAAGGGTACCAGTAACAAGTATTTTTTAATCAGAAAGAGTAACAACCATTAATGGTGATGTACTTTTCACGGTAAGAACATGTATATTTAAAGTCATTGTTCTCTATATAATATTAACGCTTACACCTATGTTGCTATTCAAGTAATTTAAGCACCATAAAAAACGGTGTATATACCGATTTCATGTCTTCATATTTCAGATGCAACATGGACAAATGTGACTGTTCCTGTAGTGCTGCCTCCCATTGTTTTGTATGCTCAAACCAAGACCCATAGGGCACTGAAACAACACATGGAAGTCACCAAACAACCAAATCAGTTATATCACCTTTCAATGCATGTTAAGTAAAGATACTTGTCTTGTTATAAAGAAATTCAGCATTATACAGATATCATTTTCAGAAATGAGAAAGAGATAAACAGAAGTGTCCTGAAAAATAATAACGGCTCACCTTCAAAATCCGAACTGTACAAAAACACAAATATTTTGAAACTATTAAAGTTGTTTTCTTAAATGATTCAATTTGTGGCTATATCAAAAAGTTAAAAGTAAAACTATTGTATTTTTCAAGAAAATCGTGAAATAGTGAGTGGATTAGTGATTAGTGATTATAATAGGTCCTTTTCTTGAGTTGTTATTCAGTCCCAGAAAATAGCGAATGAAACCCCCTAAAGATGAAAACCTTTACAATAATGTAAAAATATAATTATTTGAATCTGTTTGCAAACAGTATAAAGTAAGGACCAGTGTCCATAAGAAATCAAACCGTTATCTCTAACCAAGTTTTCAATAGAAAAACTGGGATAAGTCATTACATTATAGGTGTTGCTGAGGAATTGCCATCCTCAAAATTCCAGGGGTTAGTTGGTTAGACATTATTGTGAATGTTCCATTCCTCAAATATAACCTTCTAACTTCTGCAACCAGCAGGGTCTACCCTCCCTACTTCCACAACCTTCAGTGTTAACTCTCCCTACTTCCACAACCCTCAATGTTAACCCTCCCTACTTCCACATCCAACAGTGTTAACCCTCCCTACTTCCACATCCAACAGTGTTAACCCTCTGTACTTCCACATCCAACAGTGTTAACCCTCCCTACTTCCACAATCTACAGTGTTAACTCTCCCTACTTCCACAACCTTTAGTGTTAACTCTCCCTACTTCCACAACCTTCAGTGTTAAACCTCCCTACTTCCACAACCTTTAGTGTTAACTCTCCCTACTTCCATAACCTTCAGTATTAATCCTCCCTACTCCCATAATTGTAATAATTCTACACTACTGAATAATGAGTAAAGAGTATGACACAAGAATACTTCTTTCTGTCGATGATTGTCTTCTAGGTTAATGGCCACATGGCCTTGACCATATGTCATTTTAAAGGAGGTCTTCTCTCGAAATAGTGTGATCGATGTTACTTTTAAGCCTTATAGTTATAGATAGTTTTATTTTCATCCTCGATACCCCAGGTGTTACCGTCACTTTCACTCTCTGCACCCCTGGAGCATGTCAAGCTAAAATTGAAGGTTCCTTGTGCAACACCTGGTGGACGAAAAGACCAGTTTGATCCTTTGATGTACATCAAACCAATCTCAAGGTTGCAGAACGGCATATTGTAATGTCCTTCCTTTGTAATCGTCAAAAGGAGCTTATCAGCCTGTGATTGGTTAGTCTTTTTCTCCTTGAACCAATCAAATCACTTCATTTGTGCCTTCAATTTTGCCATGACATGTTCCAGGGGTACAGAGAGTAAAAGTGACCATAATCTCTGGAGTAACGAGGATGATGTATTTTAGACAGTCTCTTTACTACAACCAACATACAGACATAAAAAACCTATTTACCCCTCAAAGAGCAAGTGTGAACAGCACTATAAGAACAACATTAGCTAAAGTAGGAAGTTTACAAACATGAAGTTGTAGATAACATTGAAATTCATAAATAAGTGGTACTGACCTTGTCCACTCATAAAAATAGGCAGAAATCCTTCAAATGTACCATTGTAGCCCCATTCATCTGCCATTTTCTTCATATGACAGTAGAAGGATACGGCACAGTCCTTCATGTTTCTATTGATGTAGATAACACGACATTTCTTGCTCTTTATATCTGTAGGAAAGTCCTTAAATAAAAGATGACTGACCAGGATTCTTGGAGATTTCATTTCCTCAAAAGAAGTCTCTCCTAAAGATCCTGATGTGGCGTAAGATGTCATAAAGTCGACCTTCCCAGTAAGAAGCATGTTGGTGATCTCATATACCCAGTGTTTACCTAGAAATTATTTCAAAATAAACAGTTAAAAAAAAAAAAGCACACACACACACACACAAACGCAGAAAGAAAACTTGTAACAGGGACCATTCCATAATTCCTGCTAATTAACTTCAGATTCACAAATAAACTAATATAGGCATTGCAGATTAGTCTAGATGATGTGCCTAATACACCTCCATGTTAATTCTTATTCCAGTTGAAATGTCCATATCTCAGTTTCAACCAATCATAAACCGTAGCAGCCATCTTAAAATAAAGGTGACAGTTGGTAAACACAGGTAAACTGTATGTTGTCTTCTATAGAATTCAGGAAATCAACATACTCACAGTATCGAGTACATAATGAACCTGATAATGTTTGGCAACGCATCTTCAATTATGTGATTAACATGTAACTGAAAATGAAGCAACACAGAACTCGGACACAGATAATATAATGTTGGAGATACAAGAAACTGAAAACAAAGCAACAGAGAACTCAGACACTGATAACATAATGTTGGAGATACGAGAAACTGAAAACAAAGCAACAGAGAACTCAGACACTGATAACATAATGTTGGAGATACAAGAAACTGAAAACAAAGCAACAGAGAACTCAGACACTGATAACATAATGTTGGAGATAAGAGAAACTGAAAACAAAGCAACAGAGAACTCAGACACTGATAACATAATGTTGGAGATAAGAGAAACTGAAAACATAGCAACAGAGAACTCAGACACGTGTAATATAATGTTGGAGATAAGAGAAACTGAAAACATAGCAACAGAGAACTCAGACACTGATAACATAATGTTGGAGATAAGAGAAACTGAAAACAAAGCAACAGAGAACTCAGACACTGATAACATAATGTTGGAGATAAGAGAAACTGAAAACATAGCAACAGAGAACTCAGACACGTGTAATATAATGTTGGAGATAAGAGAAACTGAAAACAAAGCAACAGAGAACTCAGACACTGATAACATAATGTTGGAGATACGAGAAACTGAAAACAAAGCAACAGAGAACTCAGACACTGATAACATAATGTTGGAGATACGAGAAACTGAAAACAAAGCAACAGAGAACTCAGACACTGATAACATAATGTTGGAGATACGAGAAACTGAAAACAAAGCAACAGAGAACTCAGACACTGATAACATAATGTTGGAGATAAGAGAAACTGAAAACATAGCAACAGAGAACTCAGACACTGATAACATAATGTTGGAGATACGAGAAACTGAAAACAAAGCAACAGAGAACTCAGACACGTGTAATATAATGTTAAACGTTAAAGCTCTCTTGGCCCTTTGTTCCACGTGAGCTAAAAACAGGAAGAGGAAACGGCAGAATTTATTTACAGGGTATGGGAACCACCATGAGACAAACAAATCATTCAGACATTGAAACAGTTGAAATAATTATAACAATAATAAGGGTTTGAAGGAATCAGAGATACATCAACAGAAACTGAAACAACTAAATAGATATTTATATAGGGGCATCTGATGCTTGTATCTGTATATACAATTTCTTACCTGCTTTGGGGTATGATGCTATGAAGACATCGTCTTCTCGAACTTTAATGTTTTTAAACGAGTCTGCTCGTGTTTTCAGGTCTCCTTTAGAGAAGGCAGGGAACTGTATACCGTTATACAGGCGCAAATCAAAAGATGCGCCATTTTTATCTGTGATCTTTATTGTCTCCATGGTCCTGTAATGAAGTAGACATTCATAACATCAGATTAAAATGGCAAATTGTTCTCATGTTGTTCAGTAGTCATATCAGACAATGTCTCGATGCCTACCTATCTGACCATTGCAATTCAAGTGTAGACATTAATGTGAATAGTGTACTTGAATACACTTGGTATCAAAACTAGGTATTAACACAACCTCTATCAATACAAAAAATATCATTACACATATTATCAATACAATCTTATCAACAAGAGATATCATTATAATCATCAAGAGATATCATTATAATCAACAGGAGATATCATTATAATCAACATGAGATATCATTATAATCAACAGGTGATATCATCATTATAATCAACAGGAGATATCATTATAATCAACATGAGATATCATTATAATCATCAAGAGATATCATTATAATCAACAGGAGATATCATTATAATCAACATGAGATATCATTATAATCATCAAGAGATATCATTATAATCAACATGAGATATCATTATAATCAACAGGTGATATCATCATTATAATCAACAGGAGATATCATTATAATCAACATGAGATATCATTATAATCAACAGGTGATATCATTATATTCAACAGGAGATATCATTATCATCAACAGGAGATATCATTATAATCAACATGAGATATCATTATAATCAACAGGTGATATCATTATAATCAACAGGAGATATCATTATAATCAACATATATAATAATAATCAACAGGTGATATCATTAAAATCAACAGTAGATATCATTATATTCAACAGGAGATATCATTATAATCAACAGGAGATATCATTATAACCAACAGGAGATATCATTATAATCAACAGGAGATATCATTATAATCAACAGGAGATATCATTATAATCAACAGGAGATATCATTATAATCAACAGGTGATATCATTATAATCAACAGGAGATAGCATTATAACCAACAGGAGATATCATTATAATCAACAGGAGATATCATTATAATCAACAGGAGATATCATTATAATCAACAGGAGATATCATTATAACCAACAGGTGATATCATTATAATCAACTGGTGATATCATTATAATCAACAGGAGATATCATTATAATCAACAGGTGATATCATCATTATAATCAACAGGAGATATCATTATAATCAACATGAGATATCATTATAATCAACAGGTGATATCATTATATTCAACAGGAGATATCATTATCATCAACAGGAGATATCATTATAATCAACATGAGATATCATTATAATCAACAGGTGATATCATTATAATCAACAGGAGATATCATTATAATCAACATATATCATTATAATCAACAGGTGATATCATTAAAATCAACAGGAGATATCATTATAATCAACAGGAGATATCATTATAATCAACAGGAGATATCATTATAATCAACAGGAGATATCATTATAATCAACATGAGATATCATTATAATCAACAGGAGATATCATTATAATCAACTGGTGATATCATTACAATCAACAGGAGATATCATTATAATCAACAGGAGATATCATTATAATCAACAGGAGATATCATTATAATCAACAGGAGATATCATTATAATTATAATCAACAGGTGATATCATTATAATCAACTGGTGATATCATTATAATCAACAGGTGATATCATTATAATCAACTGGTGATATCATTATAATCAACAGGTGATATCATTATAATCAACAGGAGATATCATTATAATCAACAGATATCATTATATTCAACAGGAGATATCATTATATTCAACAGGAGATATCATTATAACCAACAGGAGATATCATTATAATCAACAGGAGATATCATTATAATCAACAGGAGATATCATTATAATCAACAGGAGATATTACTCTATCATAAAAGTTTTAATGAAATAAACAGTAAACAGCCTCTCTACATGATCCTGACTCTGTTGCTGACTTATCATAAACAGGGGGACATATCATAGATATCTAATCCTAGATGCCACGCGACGGCGTCTGTGTTGTGTCTAGGGGTCTGCCATCTTGGGAAGGTATTGTACAAGCTGTCAAGTTACTACAATATACATATTGATGTTCTACAGAATGTGTGCCTTATCCAATTTACCTTTGTATGATAGGGCCTATTCATTTCGACTTGTAAACATATATATAGTTCTAAGTAGTAGATGTCATTGTAACAGGCAGTGTTTCAAGTAATGATGAAAGGGGTTTTTGAAGTACTTTGCATACAGTGTTCTGCATGCTGATATAACCTTTAATAGATTGGCATTATGTATTCACACATATAATTCACTCTAAAATTAAGTGCATTAAAAATCTTGGGGTATATTGTTCCGTAGGAGGAGTATTTTATTTTTTAAAATAATTTTTACGTTTTAAATATTTCCGTTATTTTTTTCTTTAATTTTGATTCCCGATAACTCTACCTTAAGACTACAGCATGGAACTTTTTCTCAGCTTTAAGTATTGTTTGTGTTGATACGTGGGCTGGTGACACTAGCTAAACTTTTTTGGTGGGATTTCTAGCATGAGGTCCAATGTGTCGATATGGTTTGGCGCTAGCGGCAATACCTTCCCAAGATGGCGACCTTCAGACACATTGCGTCAACAGTAGCGGATAGGCCGTGCGGTACCTAGGTTAGATATCTATGGGACATGGTGCTACCGTATCGATGGTTATGGAACGATCTAGAATTTGTAGAAAATATTGCAGTCTTATATTTCAGACAGTAATCTCATCAAAATTATATACGCATAAAATTCCACATGATACTCCATATAAACAAGAATAGGTGTGTAATTCATCTATTCCTATTTTTAGACCGCTGTAGCATTTGATGTAAACGAAACAAGGGGAGATAAGTCTTTCACTCTTTTTGTAGCAAGCAAAAATTAGAAAGTAGGCCGACGAATGTTTTTTTTTCTCACAAAACATAACGTCATTTCAAAGACACCCCTTTATCAAGCCATTTGACATAGTTGATTAATAGAGAATAGAGAAAAAAAAGACTCACTTCTATCGAAGACCAGGATAACAAAAACGGTAAGCAGAGTAACACTTTCTGTTTCACTGTTGAATCTTACGTCAAAACTACACGCTGTCACAGGCGGACCAACAATTCCGGAACGAGAAAATAGTCATGGTACACAGTGAAAAACCAAACACATGTGATATAAAATTCAGTGTTACCAAACTAAATAAGGAGTAGTAAAAATGAAATCTACCTGTGCAGTAAGTGTGCAGCTACGACTACTCCTAGTTTATGATAGGGCACGCTCTTACCTGTCTTAGTTACTTGCAGTCTACTTTGTTCACTTGTTTGTTATCTTGTATCGTCTGCTGAGAGGCCGTAATAGCGGAAAGGAATACGTAGAAAAAGGTTATCTTTGTATACAGGTAAAATCCTGTGCATGTTGCATATATAATATATATATATATATATATATATACCACGGTGTCCTTAAAAATCATTTCCCGCCAAAAACAAGCAAGTAACACGGACATGGAATTCTCAATGACCAATCTCATATTGTCCTTTTGAATAGGATACTGCAATATACAAGTAATACTATTTTGATGGACAGGTAGACGTATGTACGAAGTACTTATCATGGGGGAAATGTGTCCGGTACCTGTGCCTGTAGCTCAATAGCTAGAAAAGTGGGAACAGCACCAAAAAAATTAAAGTTGAATTCACTGGGGCAGAAATCGCTAACAATATACACGCGTAATACTTACCGTCAACACAGGTATATTTCTAATTTAAAGACATCGCATCAACACATCTCTACTGATGGAAGAATTAAACGGGCCTCAATGTTTAACACATATCTTCAAGGTTATCTGATCACGAGTGTATAAATGTTGCACCTGTATCAAAACAAAACTGGTTGTACACGTAGACAAGGTTTTTATCTTGTGAGTGTGTATGGAAGTATTTCATATTCTTATGCAATATCTAAGATTGTGCTGGATGCGTATGGGGTCTCACGTCAGTCGTGTTGTCCCCAAGTTATCTAATTTTACATGTAACAAATATAGATAAGAACGAACTGTCTTGAGCAACCAGATCTGCAAGATTTATCGTGATAATATTGATGCTGATTTTTCATCTTATCATGACTTTGTCTTACTTGAACACGGCATGGCCTCCAGACAGCCACGTTATTAATCTTTCATACAAATGAACGAGGGGAAAGTACAGTTTACACAAACTCGACTCGGAAAGGAAGAGTAATCCTCCAAATCTCTGACACAGCTGTCAAAGTACAAGGAGAATAATTCCAGGTGCTCCGGAAGAGAAAGCGTCTTCTGCTTGATCGCCGACAACCGCCATGGAAACCTTGGTCAATCCAAGTAAGTAATGTCATGTTTTCAAATTAGAACAAGGTATACAACAATTGAACCAACAGACAAACAAGGGAGCATCAAACACGTCCATCTTCATATCACACAAAGAAACAGAATATATATGTGATCACTATTGCGACCTAAACAATTCTCCATAATTTCCATCATCCTGCATCTTTTGAACCCCGTCAGTAGACTTCTTGCATAAAAATCACGGTGTTGGGAATAGATCCTTGAATATCGAATCAGCTGTGGCATGTTAATACCATAGGTTGGAGATGCAGGAATATTGCTATCCAGAAATGGAAAATTCCCAATAGGGAAATCGACATCATTACGTTTATCATACAGCTTGTTGTAAAGCAGTCCAGGGTGGTTTCGTATAGGAAATGATCGAGATAAGCAGCTGATGTAGAAGAGTCTATCGTGTCTTTGATTTCCAATAATACGATGGACGTAGTCGATGAATTTCTTATTATCTAAAGACAAGACTTCATCAATGTATATGAATGTGAGATTAAACGACTTTTCGAGGTATTTGTGGCCTAGTTTGATAAGCTTTTCTATAAATTCAGTCATGTTCTTCAAAATCCATAGACTATTGATTCCACTTCTTGAGAGTATCACAAAAAGACTAACCCAGATTTGATAGTACTTAGAATGGTGGTAAGTTGTTTAGACAAAGGCTTGTTTGAACAGTTAGACGAGTCAGCAATGAAATATTGTTTATATGGATTTGTGTGAAGTTTGGGGATCCATTATAAACGGGGAAAGTCCGTATCGTTATCACTAATACGCAATGTAAATGATTGGAACACCAAAAGCATGATAAGCTAGTATTTTGGAAGATTGCGCAATGTATAGGTGGGGTTTCATTCGTTATCAAGCAAGCCCGGTTCTTTTTGTAATAGGAAATGTAATAATGTTCGCAGATCAAGACAGAACGCCTTATCTGTAGACACAATAACATACCTGTCAGGTAAAACATAAAGTGTGGATTTAAAATGAGTATCGATGAAAGCTGATCTTTTGTTTTGTTTTCATTTTCGATTTCAAGCAGCAAATTCTGTTAAGAATGATGGATTCAGAAAGTAAATCCAACGCAGCAAGTTCTCGTTTAAGCGTCATTTTCAACAGAATCCATAAGTATCTTGAAATTCACATTCAAAGTAACAGAAGGGTTTGCGTGATATTTAGGATCCTTCATGAAAAACTCTCCTAACCTAACATTTTGAATAAAACTTAAATGACGAGTTTCTATGTGGCCAGTTGGACCATAGTTATAAGTAGAGGTAGAATAACAACAAACTGACAGAGAACTAATTCTAAGGCCATCTTTATTCATTTGCTGCAGCGTTTGTTTGTAATGGAAAAGTTTGGATGCAATGGGCTTGGAGTAACTATAGGAAATTACAGGAGTGTTTTTACTTTAAAAAGTATGGCGAAATATTAGTTTGAACAGACTTCTGGTGTAAAATATTGCTATTGTTTACAGCATCCACTCCCTTATTTACAAACTTGTTGGAGGATCGCGGCCATCTGTACGGACAGGTTTAAAAAAAAACAAAACAAAAAAAACTTTTTATAAGCCTTATCATCAATAAATTAATGCAGTCTCCAAGCTAGTTTCCACAGCAGTATTACATGAATCCACGTGAAGCTTTCGTAGCACGGAGAGAGGAAGCGAAAATAACGTAGTTCTAACATGATGGACGCCGCCTGGTGGGCTTTATAAAGTTCCCATAGATGTTCAAACCTGACAGTATATCCGCTAGATTTATTATAATGCCACTGTCCGTGGCTACGATTACGTCTAGTTGGAGGAGTGACTAAAGCCATAACGTTAGTATTACAGCGTCCAGGGCTGGACAAATTTTCTGTAATGTTCCTCACGTTGTCTACGGTAGGGCATGCTTAGCGTAGGGTCATTTGTAAGGTGGTAGTATAGTTATGTTTTCGGAAGTACAGACATTTATCGACAGTATAGAATGGTTCGGGAGGTTGAAAAGTTGATACAAACATTGATTCTCTCCGCGGTTCACTGCTAAACCATAAACATTCGTACGTTGTTTTAACTATCTTTCTGTTTCACCAATATACATAAACCCACACAGAGCACACTCAATACCATAGATAAGCTTTGCAATTTAGGCACTCAAAGCTTCTGGTAGTATAAACTTTATTAGTCAGAAAACTTTTGTAATTCTTATAAGTAATCAGGATAGAGCAAGTTTTGCAGTTTTTGTTCCGCATTTTGAAATGTTGAAAAAATCAAAGAGTCTAATTGACTAAATAAATCCATATGTTTAATTTTGCACGGTTGTAATTGTCCGAATTTTTACAGTTATATATTCATTGTAATATCAGTGCTTTGTGTAAAATAAATAACTTCCCTGAGGACAATCCGAGGGGCACTCTTTATTCCAATAATTCCCTTGGGACGTATAAGGGGAGACCTTTTATACTGGGTGCTGATTCATTCAGTATGCTACTTGTTATTTTCTTATCTGTGATTAAAAAGCTACTGGGTTAGAAGTACTCTCTGGACCAAAACTGTCCACCAGCACAAGCCCTTGCCCAGTGGTACAACATACAACAAGAAAATACCAACATGGCAACATAGTCCAAACTCAAATTCCATGAAACTAGCAAAATATGAATAAAAGAAAGATTTACAAGGAGACTCGCCATGTAAACTTTGGCCAAACCAAACGATCTCAAATGAAAACTAGGTATACAACAACGGAACCAACAGGCAAACAAATGAGCATCAAACACGTACAGCCTGCAAGGCATGAGCCACACAACAAGTAGACATGTTAGGCTCCTAGAGACCCACATCAGAGGCAGCATTGCAAATCACAGAAAACTGTCGCTAAGAGACTCCCTGTTATTCCAGATCCCATCACAACTAATGCTGTATCTAACTCTAAGAGCAGCTGTGTCACTGATCTGTTTACCTAACAGAAGTACAAAATAAAAAAAAAGCAACAAACAGTTTGTGGAGGACAAAATTCAATCTACAAAAGCGAGGATGCAGTCAATTTAACAACAGTAACAACGAGGAATGTAAAGGAGACATAATTGTATATATATAAGGGGAGATATCAATGCAACGGTTGACAATTACTATCGTTAAGAATCTCTGTCGCGCAATATCCATTTAAAAAGCCAATACAAATTAATTACTGGGCGTATATACAGAAGTCCAAACAGTCACCTGAAATTTTTACTCAATTAGTAAACCTGTAATGGATACAAATACAAGTCACGTCCTAATCAAAGGCGGCATCAACAAAAAGGATATAGACTGGAAATCGTTATGAACCTCTGTTAATGAAAATCACATGGCTACAAAACTCCTCACTCTAACTATAGAGGTCTTGTTACACCAACATGTGAACGAATCAACCAGATTAAGAGAAGGAAAAACTTCCTCATTACATTACATTAAAAAATGAAGGGACCCTTATAGAAGATTTTGTCTTTTGACCTTGTCTTGGCCCAAGTGACCACAACTCGCCCATCTTTAACTGCGTTTGTTACACAGAGACTACACAAACGGAAAATAAGAAGCGGAACTTTTTTTAAAGGAAACTACTGTATATGGCCAGTCTAGATTAACGGAGTCAGACAGACTGGAGCACACTGCTAGATCTGAGCCTACAGGCTGCCTGGAATCTCTTAGATATATAGTCATAGAATAACACATACCAGTGAGTAAAAAGAATCC